AAAAAAATCTGAAATTTTAAGGCTTGGTTTCAATTTATGCGCAAACAAAGAAATTTCAATTCCACACCCCCGCCATAATCCTAAATTCCAACTCCTAAAATTTCCAGTCGACTGAAGGAGAAAGAAAGGATGACGTTTCCCGCCGGCGTGTCGCAACCAAATTTGGGGTTTGTTCATTCCGGCTTGGGGACTGACTGATTTTAATCGATACAAGGTTTGAGTTCTTCGCTTGTCTCAACTAATATTTCTTCTTTTTATGGTTATTGGGTTCGGACATGATTGTGAAAAGAGCTTAATTGTGCTATTGTAGCTGAGCCTGAGAGGATAGCATGTAGTAGATATGCATTTTCAAATCGAATTCAAAGGGTTCAAAAAATTTAAAATGCTGAGCCGTTATTGAGATGATGAAGGGAGAAACAGTTGCAAGATCTAAAGAGAAATAAATTTCAGATTTTTATTTTTATTTTAACTTCTTATTATTTATTATTACTATTATTTTTCTTGTACTTTACATAGTATAGTTGAAGGGCGATGAGTGGCAATGAATTCCGTTTCTTCCTTTCATGCGACATTAATCTGCCCGTCACCTTCAAAATCGAGAGACTGGAAGGGAAACTGTCTCCGGTGAAGCCTCCCGACTCAGGTTATGCAAATTCCTTTCATTAATCCGCTGATTATAGGGTTATTGTTGATTTTGCTGTAAATTATTGGAAAAAGAATGCTGTTTTGAAGACCCTGTCGATTGAGCTTTTCTAGCTTAAGGCGCTCATGATCGTAATGTTAACTGGGTTGTGCAGATGATAGTGACTATATAGAGGAGAGGAAACCGGAGTTGTACGTTGAGTGCTTGTTATACGTTGATGGCGCGCCATTCGGGCTCCCCATGAGAACGAGGTTTAGTTCTCTGCATTTCATCTCATTTTGTAATTTTTTGCTTTCCAAAGCCGATTAGCTTGGACGTGTTTGGGTGATTTTGTATTGAGGTGGTTTGAAAAAATGCAGGTTGGAATCTGTTGGCCCATCATATTGTTGGAATGAACTTGTTACTCTGAGTACCAAATATCGTGATTTGACTGCAAATTCACAACTTGCCCTAACGGTATGTAGTTATAATTTCAGTGTTGTGATTCACATTTGGCATAAAACATTTTTTTGCTATCGTTATTTTTTTTAATGAAGTGTTAACTGGTATTGTATATATATAGGTCTATGATGTTTCATGTGGGAAAAATGAGGAAGTGGTTGGTGGGGCGACAATTCATCTGTTTAACATGAAGAAACAGCTCAAGACTGGGAAGCATAAGCTCAGACTTTGGGCGGGTAAAGAAGCAGATGGCTCTATAAACACAACAACGCCTGGAAAGGTATGGAATATTCCAATTCAAATGATAGTTTGCCTTTCAGTATTTGTGTTAAATGATCGTGTTGGTTTAGGTCCCTAAAGAGGAGCGAGGAGAATTAGAACGTTTGGAGAAGCTTGTGAATAAGTATGAGAGAGGACAGATTCAAAGAGTTGACTGGCTGGACCGGCTTGCATTTAAAGCCATGGAGAAAATTAAGGAACGCGAAAGCATAAAAAAGGGGGGTTCCCATTTGTACGCTGTCGTTGATTTCTGCAGCTTTGAACATCGAGTGGTCTTCCAGGTAACTTTTAGTGCATGTAGGGTTTCTTCATCCTCTTGAATGTTTTAAATATTATTTGAATTCCATGGCTATAGCCTATATATTTGGATGCTGCTGCATTTTAAATCTATCAACGAATCTTGTGATTCCAGTTGTCTTTATTTCCTATGCAACAGTGAACTTCCATAGGTACAAACCCAGCTATTTGATTTTCCTGTAAACCGTTGGGTTTGAATTTCATGTAGGACATATAGTCTACCATAGCAAAGGTACAAACACCTGCTGTGCTGGACGAGGAGTTTTTCTGTGATATTTATGATAACAGTTTTCTCCAGAATCCTGCTAAAACACTAATATTTGTTATTGTAGCCTCATTATTTGGTTACCGAGTGAAATTTATTTATCACTTTGGTCTGCAGGAATCTGGTGCAAATTTCTTGATTCCATCCCCAATAGCTTCAACTAATGAACTTGTCACTGTGTGGGATCCTGAACTCGGAAAAATTAACCCCTCTGAGCACAAG